GGGGCTACTGACAGAGGCCATGGAAGCCAGGAAACAGACAGAGAAGGGTACCACAGAGACAAACGGTGCTCTAGGGAAGGGTAGGCAAGTATACCTCCTATCCCTGATAGATGCAGAACATTCAGGCTTGGTCTCAAGATTTTTGCTGGAAATTGTACATGGATACTTTCAGGGCATTTACACTGCCCTCGGCTGGGCGTGGTGAGAATAGAAGAGTATGTGACCCGAAGGAGTTCACACTCGGGGAAGCAGGGGGGTTGTCTCCAGGCTCTAGCCCTTCACCGCTTGGCTGTCCTCTGACAGCAGGGGTGCAAAGCATCGTGGAAACAGTAGTGCGGGCTTCCTGGAAGAATGATTCGTACCCAGACCTGTAAGTTGAGTAGGACATAGCCATTTGCAAGGGAACCTTTAGAGAAGGAAGAGCGGCTACAGCCTGGATCGACTATAAGGACATTAAGCTAGGTGAAATAAGCCAGAGGCAAAAGGATGAATCCCGTGAGACTCCCCTTACAGGAGAAACTAGGAGGAGTCAGCCTCAGAGAGACAGAGAGACCATTGCCAGGGGGCCGGGGGGAGAGGGGAATAGGGAGTTGTAGTGTAATGGGGGATAGAGTTTCCATTTTACAAGATGCAAAGAGTTCCAGACATGAACGGAGGCGATGTCTGCACAACAGTGTGAATGGGCTTAATGCTACACAACTACACTGTCGTTCACAATGGCTAAGATGGCACAGCGTGTGTTGTGCGAATGGCTCAGAGTCTGGGGTGGGGGAGGGGGCGACCGTGGCAAGGACTTGACTATGAGAGGATTCTGAGAGGTGGGAGTAGGTGGCTTTCCAAGGTGTTGAGAAATAAACAGGAGGGAGATGAGCTGCTGACAGAGGGTGGATAGAGGGGTGAGTAGAAGAGACCAACATACCCCTGGTATTGCTAATGGAAGCTGTAGGATGATGGCAAGGACCACCGTGCTGAGCAGGGGTCTTACGTTTCAGCAGGAGGCAGCAGGGGGCTGAGGAATCCGCACGCTCACCTGGTTCTTTCCCTCCAGGCTGCCGCTGGACTGGAACCCGCCTTCCAGGAGAACATGTGGGCTGGGGTGGTCAAGCATCTACCAGACCCTCCGGTGCCACGAGGTCGCCTGCACGTCCGCTGTCAGGGAGAAGCCAGACTTGTCTATTATCAGCTCAGATTTGTTTAAAGTAAATTTCCTCGTGAAGGAACAAGAAGGAGGTGAAGCTGCCCAGAAGGAGCACTGATCACACAGCAGTTTCCCTGTCTGCGCTCTGAAGGGACCAGGTTGCTATTTTCTTGGCAAGTTCTTCTTTCCCAGTTAACCTAGATGTCTGAGCGAGAGCCCGCGTTGCCCATAAGGGGCCAGGAAGAAAGACCAAGGAGTGATTTCGGCCAGTGTGGGCTTCCTCCCAAAGTGATTAGAGCTTGAATTGAAGCAAACGAGTCGGATTCGAGGTTTTCCTTCCTTGGAAGCCAAGATTTCATTGAGGGAAGCCAGCGCAGAGCTGACGGGCTGCAGCTCCAACACACCGCAGATATCACCAACCACCACCATCCGCCAGTGGGATGGGGCAGCGGACAGGAAAGGGAGGCTGCTGGGAAAAAACCAACAATTTCTAAAGTTTGTCTTATGCCAGGCAAGCCACGGTTAATCGCTGGAATGTATTATCTCCTTTATTCCTAATAATACCTCTATGAGTAGATATTAGTGTCCCATTTCACCAACAAGGAACCTGAGGCTCTGGGAGGTTAGACGGCTGGCTGATGGCTATCAGTTAAGTAAATGGCAAAAGAAAATCCAGAGCCCACGATCTTAACTACCAACAATGTGGACCGTCAGAGCTGAGAAAAGCAGGCTCTGGGAATAGAATCAGGAGGCCGATTGCCCTCTCCTTTCCAAGCATGGTCCTAGAACAGCCATTCTGAAGCTCTCAGCCCTCTCAGAGACCCTGACAAGGGTAGAAAAAGAATAACAAAGCAGCTGCCAGTCACAGCGACTTGCTATGCCAATCTCTCCGTGGGCGTCTTTCAACCCTGAAGCAGCCTAGGGAAGGTGCATCCCTGCTTTAGAGATGAGAAAATGGTCCTCGGAGAGATTCCGGGTTTTTTGCACAAAGTCACACAAGCCAAAATTTTCAAACTTCAAACCTTAGGGTGGCCCCAGTCACCAGGCTATAAATCTCCACCCCTAATTCAAAGCCATCACTTTGCAGCAAGGTACAGGGTACCACAAACACAGGAGGTCTCGACCCTGCAGTCCAGTACTTTCCAGTACCGGCTCACCTGCTCTTTGGTCAGTCCGTGAGCAGTAGGCTTCTCAGAAGGGCAGGAGAGGTACTGTCTTGGCCATGCCCCCCTCCCCACCCCCACATAGGGCAAAGAGTCTGCAGGACTGAGAAGTGTCCCACTTCTGGACCATGCTACAGGTCCTGGGAGCTGGAAATGTCAGCCCAGATGACCTTGAATCTGTGTCCAGAGTCATGCCATGTCCTCGGGGATTTGTCCATTCGTGGAGAGACCCACACAGTCCCAGCTCAGCAGGGCAGCAAAGGGGGCGGGTATGTGCTGGGGTGCATGCACACAGTGGACATGCGTTGGGGAAGGGTGCCCATACATGTCCGTCATGGTGCAGGAAGAAGCCAAGGATGGAGGGAGGAAGAGGGTGAGCTGGGCGCTGGGAGCCAGAGGCTGCCCTCCCTGCATTGTCACATCCCCATGGAACTATGAGGATTCCAAAAATTCTACAACCATCCTGGCCTTCTGGAGCCTTCTGAGTGGCCAAGGTAGGAGGAGAGAACACTCACCATCTGTTAAGATTTTAATGAACACTTTGTTAACTTGATATTTAACTTTTAAAGACTGAGCCCCCATTTGTACTCTTGCCCTGCCCCCAAACATCAGGGGTGAGCCTGCCCCTACTTCTCTTTCGCTTCTAGACTCCTCTTGTCCCCCACCCCAAGGCTCCTGTGACCTTATACCTTATTTCACCCTTGCCAAGAATGTTGGATCCTCACTGAGTGCTTTTTAGGAGCCCCCTCTCCCCCAACCCCCATCTTGAAGGGCATTCCACAGGTTTCTGTATTTTCAGTTGCTCCCGGGGAGATGTTGCTCTGCTTCCTGGCTAAGTTGTCTGCTTGTTCCCTGACATTTTTCTGACTAGCCACGCAGGAGCCCAGACCTCAGTAACTCCAGCTGACGCCGGTGGAAAACGCTCACATCAGGGAAGACTCCTGGTTCCCCGTTAAATAATCCAAGCTCAGGCAAAATGAGAAATGTATTGATTCATAGAACCATGGGGAAAATGGTGACCAAGAACTTAACAACCCCATCAGGACTGTCCTTCTATCTTTGTCCCTGTGGTACTGTCCTCTTTTTCTCTGCAGACCAGCTCTGTCCCCCTTGCAGGAAACATGGCCACAGCAGTCCCTGGGTTTAATTTGTAGTTCTAATTCCACAGAGACTGACTTCAAGTTCTCTTGCATTCCAAGCCTCAAATCCCTAGCAAAGAGATTTGCTGCCATATCTTGGGTCAGCACTTACCTTGGCTCAAACCAAGTGAAGGCTGGGGACTGGTTCCTTTAAAAATGGCTGGTCCCTTAGATCCATGGTGATGCAAAGGCCCTGCTTCTCCTGGAGAAGAGAAGGGGGCTGGGTACACAGACATCCTCTGTATGCCTCTGAAGGCTAGACAATTGATTCCCACTGCCTCAGACTGTCAAACTATGCTTATCTGCCTGCCTTTTCCTTCCCCTTCCCTCCCTCCCTTCCTCCTTCCTTGCCTTCTTCCTGACATGGGTTTAAATCCTGGGTTTTCTCCAGGCTCCAGAGGCACAGAGAGGACCTGCTCGCTGCTATGTTACCAGTTTGCTGCTGGGCCAGAGCATATTATTACTTTATCCCTTAAGCCTTAATATCCTTAACTGCTGAAAAGGGAAAGGGGAACAGTTTGCTCCCCACACAGGCTTTGCCCTTCTGTTTCTGAATCTTTGAGCCTCCTAAGCAACCAACCTACCTTGGCCAGACCACTGTTCCCACCCTGCTTTATGTAAACCTTTAAAATACTGGATCTCTCCTTATTTTAATGAAGTACTCATTTTTAATCCTTTATTTTTGGACCATAACATTTAGAGTTTAATCCTTGGGGTTCTAGCCTGCCTACTTGGTACTATTTTAAATTGAGAGCTCTGCATTAATGCTGTTTTGCTGAGGGCAGTGTTCCTTCCATTAACTAATCCCTTGAGGAAATAATGCCATTATATGAAGTCAGCGACATTCAAAACAAAACCCATCTTATAAATCATGCCAAGCAGGGTTCCAGATACCTCCAGGTGCAACTTCCAGTTGGTCTGGCCTTGTTGGAAGAAGATGGGGCAAAGCAGTGAAGAACATCAGACCTTTGTCTGACCCAGGTCTTCCCTCTGCCCCTTCCCACTCCTACCTCTGTAACCAGAAGCCTGCTTTCTCAACTCCCTGCTGCCCACCACAGCAGGAGCAGAGACAACCCCAGCATTACCCCCAAGGCCTTGCAGAAATGAGTTTGGGAAATGCTGGATTAAAGACAGTTGAGCGAGTTTGTTTACCTCTGACCCCATCTCAAGCTAATCACCTCCCAAAGGCATCGCCTCCTACCACCACGGCATGGCAATTAGAGCTTCAACATATGGATTTGGGGGTGTTACCAACAATCAGTCTATAACAGAGAGTAATTTGTTCAGGATCATAAGCAAGAAGGTGGCAAGAGCCACATCTGGGACGAAGTCTCCAGATTCCTCCATCTGTCCTGTTTCCCTTGTACATAAAGGACAGTGTGAGGCATCATGGACTATGGGGCATATGTGCTATGCTGGGCAGCTGGTGGGAAAGATGAGACTAGATAGAATTTGAGAGGCTGATGATGCCTGGCATCTGAACAGTGGCCCTGGGGAATCCAAATCTGCCCCGCCAAATAACCCCTTCTTCTGGTGAGATCCCAGATGGAGACAACAAGGAACAACGGAAGATGGAAGCAAGTGCTTTTATTTTATTTATTTATTTTATTTCTAACTGAGATACCCGGTAGTCCCTTGGATGGACTGCTCTAGGAAGCTGAGCTGGGGCTAGGATAGGCTCAGAGCTTGACCAGCTCTTTCCTTCTCCTATCCAAATCTTACAACTGGACTTTGGTGAGCTGAAGACTCTGGTGTGAGTGACCCACCATGAGTGGTGAAGCCCAGTCAGGCTCCCTGTCTCTCACCAGTGGCATTAGAGTGATGGCACTGTCTTCTCTCCTCTGTTGGGGACAACCCAGACTATACCACTTGGCTAAGCCTTGGAGCACAATTTGTTTGCCTTTCAAGGTTGCTCTGTGGAAGGTAGGGGTCCAACAAAGAGGAACCACAGTCTCTTCTCCACTCCACGAGCTGGAGGGAGGCTAGCTACGGCTCCTAGATGCTTGGTCGGCTGCCTCAGAGATTCGAGACCGAGGCAGGATCACTCTTCTAGACCCTGAAAGCCACTCTGTCCTACCTGAATCCTGACTGTTCCCAGGCCCCTCTCTGAGGCCAGCCTCTACCCTCCATCCCTCATACCACCCCATGTCCTATCTGATCAGGTTAAACCTGGGTCTGTCCTCCCATCACCCTCAGTTCTAAGGTCCCAAAGAGAATATTCTATAGTTTAGATGTTGGTCTGCAATAATTTGGCCAGTTTGATATATCACGCCTGCCACCCCCACCCCAAGACACACTTTCCAGCCTCCCCTTTCACTTCTGCCTCCTGTTGTGGTGACTCTCATGAAGAAAGATGTCATTTGTGTGCTTCTTTATGACTGTCAGAGGTATTACTAAAGGCTTACAAATTTTAATTACTGGCTTAATATTCCTACACAATGACAAAGCAAGCACATTTATGTGGGAGATTTCTCTCTGGTGAAATACAGACAGGAGGACATGGTGAGGAAGACATAGGCACTATTTCTTCTTGTCCACTGTGGGGCCAGGTAGCGGGCTGAGGAATGGCTGCCCAGACCCAGCAAGTTCCCATCCCCAAAACCTATGAATGTGACCTTATTGGGAAGTTCTGCACTTTTGCAGTTCTGATTAACCTCAGTATCAGGAGAGGAGGAGATGACCCTGGATTATTTGGATGGCTCCTAAATGTCATTCCAAGTGTCCTTGTGAGAGAGGCAAAGGAGAGAACAGGAGAAAGGGGAACAAGGTGAGGGGGGAGGTGACATGGAAAAGAGACATGAGGCCACACACCAATG